TCAAATTAGGATTTTAATCTGGTAATCTCCTGATAAGATCAAGAGTGGGCTAATCTAATCTGCAGATAGGATTAAGAAGACTCCTTATCCAAATACAGATTTGGATTAGGATAACTCCTAATGAGATTAGGAGGTTTCTTAATCACTAAGAAAAGGAGGAGAAAACCCTAATTCGAATTACAAGAATTCGATCCCTAAGGGATTTTCGCAGAACACAGTGCATTCTTGATATAGGATCTCAGAAACCCTAGAGAAGAAAAAGCAGTTCGCCAATTCGAGTTATCTGTGAAGGAAGATCAAGAAAAGTTCTTGATTTTGTGTGGTGCTCTCTGCTTCCATCGAGTTCTTCAGAAGAACCTGGTTCGTGGGACAAACACTGCTGGTTCTGCTCCATCATCGCCGTGTCATCTTCAGTGGGAGCAGTCCTTGAGATTTTCTTTGGGCGTGAACACCAACGTTGGGAGATACTGCTTCTCCGGATCAGGTATATCCCTTCCCTTCCCCTTTTGGTTCAGAATTGGTTCGGTTTTGATTCAAGATATATCCTGGATAATTTAGGGAATGTGATTCCCAGTTGGAAGAATGGAAAGAAATTTTTGAAATTCGCCCACCCATTCCGCAACCCTTTTGGCGTCCATATGATGGATCTTACCATTCTTTCAATCATCACCTGTCACAACAATGTCATCAACATATACTATCAACATTGTTACTCTACCATCAACTCTTCTAATAAATAAGGTGTAGTCAGTTTGACATTGAAAAAAGCCAATCTTTAAGATGGCATTCCTGAACCTGTCAAACTATGCTCTTGGAGACTGTTTTAGCCCATAGGTGGTAAGTCCATATACACTTCCTCTTATAAGTCCCTATTAAGGAAGGCATTCTTTACATCCATTTGATATAAAGTCCATGAGTAATGAGCAGCAAGAGATATGATCACACGAATAGAGTTCATTTTAGCAACTGGAGCAAAGATATCCAGATAATCAATGCCATAAGTTTGAGTGTATCCTTTGGCTACAAGCCGAGCTTTATATCTTTCAATGGAGCCATCTGCCTTGTGCTTAACAGTATAGACCCACTTACACCCAACAGGAATCTTATCTTTAGGGCAATGAACAACCTCCCAAGTCTGGTTCTTTATTAGGGCCTCCATTTCTTGGTTCATAGCTTCCTTCCAATTGGGGCACTGCATTGCCTCTGTGACACTACAAGGGATGGAAATAGAAGAGATAGCAGAAATATAGGCACAATAGGAAGAGGAGAGAGCATCATAAGACACATAGTTAGTGATAGGATACTTGCTACATGTCCTCTTCCCTTTTCAAATGTCAATAGGAAGATCAAGGTCAGAATCAATAATAGGATTGTTAGGAGGTTCAAGATTACCTGAGTCTGGGGAATCAGATTGTGATGGGCATTTTGCTTCAGGAGCCACCCTCTTACTGCGCCTGATGAAAAACTGCTGCCAGGACCGAGGTTGATACACAGGAGGAGGAGGAGGAGGAGGAGGAGGAGGAGGAGGAGGAGAAGGAATAGAGGTAGGAAGAGAGGGAGGAATAGAGGTAGGAACAGGAAGGTAGAAGGGAGTTCGGTTCTTCACTTGCATTTTTCCCCTAAGGAGAAGGACGACATGACTGGAAAAAGGAAGAGGATTCCAAAAAGGTAACATCCTTAGAGACATATCTCTTTCCAGAGAGAGCATCAAAGCATCTATAGCCTTTCTGGACTAGAGAGTAACCAAGGAATACACATTTAACGGATTTAGGATCAAACTTGCGCCGGGAAGGACACATATCATGAACAAACAAACACAACCAAAGACCTTAAGGGGTAGATTAAAAGGAGGTTCATCAGGGAAGAGTAGTTGATGAGGAGAATGAAGGTTAAGGACCCTTGATGGGAGTCTGTTAATGAGATATACAACTGTCTCAATAGCATCACCCCAAAAACGAGTTGGAACATGAATTTGGAACAATAAGCCTCGAGCAACTTCAACCACATGCCTGTTTTTTCTTTCATCCACCCCATTTTGTTGTGCAGTATGACTGCATGAACTTTGGTGAATAGTGCCCCTGTCTTCAAGAAGTCTATGCAAGTGATGTTCAAAGTATTCCTTGGCATTGTTAGATCTTATTATCTTAACTCTTTTCTCAAATTGTGTCTCGACCATATTCATGAAGTTTTGAACAATCATAGGAACTTCATCTCTACTTTTCATCAAGTAAAGCCATGTATACCGGCTGTAGTCATCAACGAAGAGAATGAAATATCTGTACCCCCCTATACAGGGGACAACATATGGGCCCCAAACATCAGTATGGATCAAATGGAAAGCACCATTACTTCTTTTACTGCTTGCAAAATATGTGTTTCTACATTGTTTGGATAAATGACAAACTTCACATTCAAAATTTGATTTGGACACAGAAGTTTGGAAACAAAAATTTCACAGAATTGACAGACATATGACCTAGGCGACAATGCCATAATTTCAAAAGACTCATTTTCTCATTGGAACAAGACTCAATCTGGCTTGACAATCCATGCTCTGAAGGTCCACCTAGGAGGTAGACTCCATCCATTTCATGCCCACTTCCAATTGTCTTCCCCATGCTCCGGTCTTGAAAAACACAATGGGTGGGAAAAAAGGTCACTGAGCAATTGTGGGATTTTGTTAGAGAACTAACAGACAATAAATTTTTTTGTAGCCCGGGCACATGTAGAACAGAGTCTACATGCCCGGGCACTAATAGCCGGGGAAAGGTTATTAGTGATTCTGACTTCACCCTGACCCGAGATTGGGGTCTGAGATCCATCCGCAACAGTAATCTTGCCCTTCCCCGGGGTTAACTTATATGAGGTAAAATGTGAAGATATACTAGTTATATGGGCACTGACCCCAGAGTCTACAATCCATGGGATAAAGGAGGTGAAACAAGCTAGTGCAATACCTGTCTTGGCATATGAACTAGATAGATTACTAAGTCCAGAACCAGATGATGAGGATGTACCACCCTTCTCTAGCTGCAACAATATATTCCTGAGTTTGTCCATTACATTAGCGGAGTCAAGCACATCCAAGGGCTGAACATCATTACCAACTGTAGCCAAGTGAGCATTGCCCTTCTTCTCGGTTTTGTACTTCTCCGGTTTTAGATGATGATTGAGCTTCCAGAACCTTTCTTTAGTGTGTCTTGGCTTCTTGTAGTACTCACAAATAACATCCTCGACCTTATCTGCAATGGGATGCTTGCGAGTATTTTGCTTGGGTCAAGATGAGAGATGACATAAAGGCAGAATGATCACTCACAGAGGATTGCATCATGGCGGTTCTTCGGCTTTCTTCCCCTTGTACAAGAGAGTAAGCAGTAGCAAGAGAAACAACACCTGCACCAAGAATGTGTTGTCTGGTGAAATCAAACTCTAGGTTCAAGCCGGCCAAAAAATCAAAGACTTTAGTCTCCTCTATGTACTTTCGATACTGCTCACCCTCTTCAGGGTCCTTCCAAACTAGAGCTTTCAAGTGATCCATTTCTTCCCAGATAGACTGTAGAGAAGAGAAATACATAGCAACAGACCTCTCCCCCTGACGCAAATTACAAGCTTCCCTCCGAAGCTGATACACTCTAGCAATATTGTCAACTTGGGAATAAGTAGCAACTACCCTGTCCCAAATATCCTTGGTAGATGGAAGAAACATGTAATTTCGAGCAATATGAGTTTGCATTGAGCAAATCAGCCATGACATAACAAGGGAGTTGTCCTGTTCCCACCTTGCAAATTTCGGGTCTTCAGGACTCGGCTTCACTTCCCTTCCTGTGATGAATCCCAGTTTACCCCTCCCAGTAATGGTAAATTTAGCAGACTGAGACCATTCTAAAAAATTAGTTCCATCCAGCTTAACAGTGGTTATTATACCACTGGAAATATTTGTAGTTCCTGGGAACCATCTGAAAATCCTTAGATGGTTCCATATTCTAACAAGACACCTTTTCACCAACCAAAAAGGCCCCCCAATAATCGAGGTTCCAGACCCAAAAACACGTTACCCCACGGTTAAGAACCGAAGGAAGACCCAAAAAACTAGGTTGGCGGCAAAATAGAGGGAGAAAAAAATCTCCCAAAAATCACACAATGCTTAGAAAATTATGGGACTACTTCCCGTCAATCCCAAATTGAAAAACGACCTGAATTGTCTAGGTTTCACAGAAGAAAAAAATCATTAAACCTGTTGTACATGGCTCGGCATCAGATCTGGAATTTCTGTGATTTTTCCTTGAAAAATCCACCAAAAATCATAGAAATTTCATATATCGACAAGAGTCATACCAAAATTTTTCTAAAATCAGGGCGAATCAAACTGTGTTGGTTTCATAGACTGCCGCCGAAACCTGTATGGACTGCGAAAAAAATCTCCCAAAAATCACATAGTGCTTAGAAAATTACGGGACTACTTCCTGTCAATCCCAAATTGAAAAACGACCTGAATGGTCTAGGTTTTACAAATGAAAAAAATCATTAAACCTGCTGTACATGGGTCGACATCAGATCTGGAATTTCTGCGATTTTTTCCTTGAAAAATCCACCAAAAATCATAGAAATTTCATATATCGACAAGAGTCATACCAAAATTTTTCTGAAGTCAGGGCGAATCAAACTGTGTTGGTTTCATAGACTGCCGCCGACACCTGTATGGACTTCTGACGTAATCCGGCAATGGTCTGACATCAGCAGTTCGCCTCTGGGTAGGAGATCAGCAGAAAACCAACTCCCAGATGCTTCTACCTGCTCTGATACCAAGTTGCAGAAATTAGGGTTTCAAGAGAGTGAAAGAAAGGAGAGAAGTAAAGAAGAAGAAGAGAAGAAGAAAGGGAAGTGTCGAGAGGTGTGTGATGTTCACTGTTCACACCCTCAAAAGTTCACTTTATAATTGAAAATTAATAATTACAAGAAGGCCCCTATCTGGGTGCCCAAATATAGAGAGAGTACAAAAAAGGAGAAAATGACCAAAAACACCCGTCTAACCATTCTCAACAGCCTATACACCTCAACAACTATGCTACAATCACAATGCATTAAACCAGACCAGCCCATAATTCCAGGATAGTCTATGGGCTTCTTGAATATGGGGTATTTTGGTTCAAACTGCTTTTTCTATGCATATGTTTTCCTTCTTACTCATATTAATAAATTACTATTTGTTATTGTTATTGATTAATAGAAAAATTAAAGAAAAATTGTCCATGGGTAGATTGACTTTGATGCCACACTTGATTATATCATCTTGTTCAATTAATTACTCATATGGTTGATGTAGATTGAAGATGGGGTAAGATCATTTTTCTATGTACTTAATTCTTCAATATATATTTTCAGTTTGTTGTCAAATTTCTAAAAACTAAAATGATCTTATGATTTACAACCAACTTCAGTCAACCTTCTACACAATTTATGATATGTTCCTAATTTCAGAACATTTTTTCCTGACATGCGCAAACATTTATTGGTTTTTCAATTCGTTCAGCATATAACTTCTTGAAAATTTTACATATACATTTATTCTCAAAAGGCTATAAGCATGATGCATGCACCACGGCACTGATCAGTGGAGCATGGTTAGCTCACACAAAAAAATGTGACTATTATATTATTCATCATAAACAAAGCATTGTTGTCACAGTAAGAGGATGGTTTGACTTCAATCAATTTCCCTTGGATGATAGGCCAAGAATAAAACTTCCATCTGAGAGTAGGACATCTTTCAAAGGTCCCTTCTTTTTTTTTTTTTTTGATAAGTGAAAGTAAAGTTTTATTAAAGAGCAATAAATATAGGCAGCGCAAGCATCCCTTCTTGTTTAGCTAACACATATTCCATTGCATTACCCCTTGTTTGTCTTGTGAATCATCTCTTAAAAGAATTTGACACATTTTATATCTAATGCACTAAATTTTTGATAATTATGTTCTATTTGTATCATCTACAGAAAGATGCAAAATTGTTATATAACAGGCTTATCCACATGAAATCAAAAAATTCTACTCAACAAAAGTTTATGCGTGATGGATTCTTGGGATTGTTTGGACGTAAAGTCGATCCTGTTGATCACTATGAAAAGAAGTTAGAAGATCTGGAGGAAAATGTGAGAATAGAGCAATTGGGTCTTTCAGTGTCAGGAGAGGTACATACTTTTTTGTTCTCTATCTTGAGTGGAAATATTTTTACATATATGATACATGTCTATGACAGTGCTTTAAAAGGTTTATGAGGCTTACACCTGAAGGTGCACCTCAAGGCTTATGCCTAAAACTATGAGAAACATTCATCACACCTTTAGATGCCTTATGCTAAGGCCACACATTTCATACATTTATTGAAGTAGGTTTTGAGGATCACATGTAGGTTTTCTTTTCAAAATGATCTCATCAAGATTTAAAATGCATCCATACTTAATAGTTGCATTGATGCCATAATTTGTAATTTTGATATTTTTGGACATTTTGCCATGTAGAGATGGAGATTTCTCAGAGAAAGTTCACTAATTTTGTTAAGATATTTGGAAAATCAAAAAAATCAGTAAAGTTTTCTAGAAATATGGAATTAGTTAATAAACCTTTTAAGGAATCATTAGAAGAAATATTATTTTACATTTAAGGCTCAAAAAACCATAGAAATGGACCATATAAATCAAATAGGAGAAAATTAAGAGATTTCAATAGGTATCTCTCTCTCTCTCTCTCTCTCTCTTAGCCTTTTAAACATCTTCTCTTCATTAAATATGTCAAGGAGGAAGAAGGGCTAGGACTTCCCTAGGATAGGGGTTATCAAGGAGGAAGAAAGGCTAGGACTTCCCTAGGATGTAATTACTTGCCTTAGGTGGTGTTCAGTAGCGCTGAATATAGCTCCGAACGCCGGATTTTTTGCTTTTTGGTGCTTCGGGGTAGGGCTGTTCATAAGAAGACCCAACCCGACCAAACCGACCAACCCGGACCGGCCCAACCTGAGTCGGCCGGGTTTTCTTCAGCACCAGTCGGTTTCGGGTTGTAAAAAATCATAAACCTTCTTCTTCATCTTCTCTCCTCTTGAACTCTGATTTCTGCTACTTTCTTTTGATTTTTTGCATCTTTCTAAACAGTCCTTTCTTCTCAAAAGGTTGTTTTTCTTCTCTCCTTCTACCTCAACTTCATTTGTGTCTACATCAGGTAACTCTGCCACAACTTTCCATGTATCGTCCCATTCCCCTGGTTCTCCTTGGATAATTGATTCTGGAGCATCTAAATATATGACTAGTAAGTCCTCTTATTTTTAGACCTACCACCTCCTCTCTGGAAGAGACAAGGTGAGACTAGCCGATGGATCATATTCTACCATAGCTGGTCAATGAACCATTTCTCTTCCCTTTGGCCTCACCTTGTCTAATGTTTTACATGTTCCAAAATTCCCTATTAATTTGTTCTTTGTTAGTAGTATCATTAATTCTTTAAACTGCTCAGTGACCTTTTTCCCCTCTTACTGTGTGATCCAGGACCTAGCCTCGGGGAAGACGATTGGTAGAGGACGTATGGTGGATGGGCTCTACATGCTGGAGAATAGGCTGGTCTTATAGTCATAGAGTCTAAGAGTTAGTTTAGTAAGAGTCAGATCTATTTATGTTATAGTCGTCTTGGTCATTTATCTTTTGAGTCCTTAAAAATGGTGTTTCTAGAGTTTAAGTCAGTGTCAGTGTCAGAATTTACATGTCAAACTTGTCAATTGAGTAAGCATTGTAGAACTCATTTTTCTTCAAAGACTAATAAATCTGAATTTCCTTTCCATATTGTTCATCCTGATGTTTGGGGCCCTGTTGCTTTACCATCTAAGAGTGGCTACAAGTATTTTATTACCTTTATTGATGATTACTCTAGATATACATGGGTGTATCCCATGCGAACCAGGGATGAAGTACCAAATATCCAAGATTTTCACCGAATGATCTTCACCCAATTTCAAATTGAAATCCAAGTTTTTCAATCCGATAATGCCAAATAATAGTTTCATAATGATCTCACGGAGTTCTTTGCTTCGCGTGGATCACTTCACCGTAGCTCATGTGCCCGAATACCACAACAAAATGGTGTTGCTGAAAGAAAGAACCGACATGTTCTTGAAGTGGCCCAGGGGTTACTAATTCATATGAATGTCCCGAAACATTTTTGGCTTGAAGTTGTCCTTTGTGCTACCTATCTCATTAATCATATGCCCTCTCGCTGGTTAGAGTGCAAAGCTCTACATCAACTTCTTTTTCCTAAGGTTCCTCTCCTTTCTATTCCTCCTCATGTGTTTGGTTGTTGTTGTTGTGTTCAAAACCTGTCACCCACCCGTGGAAAATTGGATTCTCGTGCTATTCCTTGCATCTTCTTGGGGTACTCTATCACTCAGAAGGGATACTGGTGCTTTGATCTCGTCTCCCAAAGGTATTATGTTTATATGGATGTTTCTTTCTTTGAGAGTGAGCCTTTCTTCCCTGTTTCTCCTTAGGGGGAGTGTAGGAATGAGGAGAAACTGGTTCAGCACCCTCCTCTTCTTGATCCTCCTCCCTTTTGTGTTTTCTTTCGTCGTCACAAAGGCCAACCATTTTCAAGCATTGTGGAGCACCTAGAAGCTATACCACCAATGCCATCAAACTCTCTATGTGCGGATCCTACTCAATTAGGTACCTTGGTTCCCATTGATGTTCTTGACCCTATTGCTATTGATACTTCTATTGCTGATGACCTTGACCTTCCTATTGCTCACCGGAAGGGTGCTAGGTCTTACACCACTAAACATCCCATTTCCCACATTGTTTCCTATGAGAACATTTCACCTTCCTTTCGGGCCTTCCTTTCTTCCATTGATAGTGTTCCTATTCCTAAGAATGTGGTAGAAGTTCTTTTGGTGCCTGAATGGATAGATGCTATGAAGGAAGAGATTAATGCTTTACATAAAAATAGTACATGGGAATTAGTAGATCTTCCTGAGGGGAAGAAACCAGTTGGATGCTGTAATGATTTATGGAGAGTGGGAGAGAGAGAGAGAGAGAGAGAGAGAGAGAAAGAGAGGTACAATTGAGAGAAGAAAGATGCTACTGGCTGCCGCCAGTCTTCTATTTATATTAACTTAATAAAGGAATAGAAATTACAAGTATGCCCCTGGCGGCACACCCTAGAACCAAAAATAATAAGAAAAAAAGACAAGTAACTAACTGACAGTATCCTAAGAAGTCAGCCTACTAACAACAGCTATAAAGTAACAATTAAATAAGCCTTACAACACTCCCCCTCAAGTTGGGCTGAAT